CATGTTTTCTTATAAAACCAAGTTGATTATATAAAAATCATGCGTGTTTCATTTGAGTATACTGAAGAAGGACTGTATCGACGAAATGTTCTGTCAACGAAGTGTCTTGTCGACGAAATGTTTTTCGACGATATTCTGTCGACCAACTGTCTGTAGACAAAAATTTGTCCACCAACAACATGATTATCGAAATATTCAACTATAAAACTAAACACATTCGAGTTTCTCAGAAACAAACCGCAGGCACGAACTCTTTTTATGGCGGAAATAGCTTATCGAGGTCTACAAAATGTACCAAGTCCTGATTCAAAAGCGAATTGATACCTTACAATGTTCTCTTGTTAGTATGTGTTATTTGATATATGTCCTGCATCAAATTAAAAGATCAAAATTAATTGAATCAGAGAAAGGAGAATCTTTTTTGCGCAGTTATAAAATGATATTAATGACTCTTTGTTTTTCATCGTTATATGCAATAGATGAGTTGCCAAACGCATTGAAAAAAGATTAAATATGATCCCTGATCAAACACACCATCGATAGAAAAACTATGTAAAGCGAATTCATCTGACAGTTTTCGATTCCTTCTGGCGAAGAGATAGAAGATTGATCAAATTTCATCATGTTTCGGCAAATGCTAATGATTATTTTTTTTTCATTTTCGCGTTAGTGATGATTCAAACAAGCGGTGAATGAATGCATATTGAATAGAGAGATCATGAAATGTATGTCGGTTTCGTATTGTCGTCTATTGTAGTTTTTGGTACAGTGTATCCGTATGCGAAGGACGCATGCTTGATACTACGGGAGAACGATGGTACCTGCAATACCCAATGCCAAGCATGTTCGTGTGCAGGGAGTAGTTGCAAACTAGGGCTCTTTGACGTTTTTGTGAGTTTGAATACCGGCAAAACTGTTGGTTGAAAAGCGGGATAAGCAATCAGAACGTATAAGAAGAAAAATGACATTCGATTACAAATCCATGTTTGTCTATCGTGATTTAATTTGCATTGAATAGAGCAGAATTTGCATTCTCATGGTGATTTTATATACAGTATATATCATGCATCGTTGATGGAATTCTTTTCTGAAAGGAAACAGTTATTTATCAAGAATAGTATTAAGAGGCATACCGCATATATATCTTTCTCGTCACAGTTAGACTGTAACGAAGTTATTTGAGAACTAAATAGTCGTACTTGAAAAAAAGTGGTGATTCCCTCGACTGTAGGGAGGGTCATATGAAATAAAATGCGTTTGTCTGTCGGTCTGTCTGTCTGTCAGTCTGTTTGTGGCAGGTCAAAAAAACATTTTTTTTTCGAAATTTTTTAATGTAGAAACAGACTTTTTGAGGAAAATAAATTTTATAAAGGTTGACGGAAGTAAATCGGAGCCGGGGAATCCGAATCTGAAGTCAGAATTTAAAAATTTTGAAGTGAATTTTTTTGAGTTACGGGAAGGATTTTTTGAGAAAATATCCTCAAGTATTTTACAAGCAGGTCGATCAATTTCTTCGACTTTATAATTCAACAAATAGAAGTTTGAGTCAGACATTATGATAAAGCTGGTAAACCAAATCTTTCAGTACAACACATGCGGAATATACTTCTATCTTATACAGTCGAGGGTCAAGTGAGTCGAACCGACGAACGCTACTTGTAGTTTCATCGATTTGGGACGAGTATGCATTCTCGGTAGTAACAATAGATTATTCTTCATATTATTTTGGTTTGCACTTTTTCGCGTAATCAACAGTAAGACTGAAATGAGCTAACCCTTCCTTCTCCACTGTGGGTAAAAAAGACATTAGGAGCATTCCTTCTAATTACTTTAGTTGTTAAATTTAAGCTTTGCTTACATATGAATGGCGCTTAATGTTGATCATCTGCCCTTCTCGAACCTTCCTTTCTCCTGAAATTCGTTAGAAAGAGACTTCTTTTTCAAATTCTTGATTCGAACTATAACAAATCATTCTTTCTTTAGTATTTTCTATGGGGTATTAGTAAAATGCGGTCCAACCCGCTCCAATCGCCGTTGAGCTCAAAGATATTTTCAATCGATAGGGCTTGAAGTTCTGCATTCACGAGACTCCACCCCAAGCCTTGTAGTGGCTTGGAATGGATCCATGGAAAGGATATTTGATTTCTTTTATCAAGGATTTTCGTTTAAAGAAAATGATTTCAAGAGAGATCTCATGAATGCAAAGTTTCAAGCTCTATCGATTGATAATATCTTCAAGTTCAACGGTGATCAAAGTGTGTTGGACCGTATTTTACTAATTCTCTTTTCCATGACAATGATAGAAAAGCTGTTAGCGCAATCCCTTACGTGATTAAAAATGTGAAAGACGATATACCCAGTTTAAATGGTGAAGGATAAGTTTTTTTTCTCGAAGTATTGACATTATATTTAGTTGTGTAAGATTTTAGATATTATTTATGAAATTCTGCGTAATAAACTAAAAATGCTGTTCAGAATTAGTCTGTAGACAGTGTATAGAATTAATACAAGCACTTTAATCAATTTTTAATTCTCCGAAAAGTTTCAATGAATTTTTCTTAACAAAAAAAACACAAGAAAAATGTAAGTTTTGATTTGGTGAGTTTTAGTATTTTTTTATAAGGATACTACTGTTAATTTGAGTGAACAGTGATTTGTAATGATTCGATAATAAAGCGAACAGAAATCTTCTTGTATTTGAATTCGATACAAATTAGTGCGATAATACTATTGATTTAAAGCTTACATAAAGCAGCGTAAAACATATGAAACAGTTAATGACTGATCTGTGATGTTTTTAGATAATCATGTAGCTAAATATTTATCTATGAAAGAGAATGTAACAATCAATCTGTATGAATGATCAAATCCAGCGGAAGTGTGGAATGAATTTTTGAAAGATCATAAATATCTAGATAGAAAAATGCTGGAATTTTAAAATAGAAAAATTTATCATTTATTTCTTAAAGTTTTAGGAATTTAGAAATGCTCAGTTTTATTCGTGTTTAAAAAAGATTTATTTGATTATTCTAGATATTGTTTAATGTAATATTATGTATATGCATATTTTTTGGCTTGAAGTTAATTAAAACGTTCATCGAAGCTAAGGTTAATAATACATCTTCATCTTCCAGTAAATCGTTTTGAGAAAGTTGTTCATGATTAGATTGTTGTAATAAAACTTGAATTTTTGATCTTTCAATACTAAACTCAAACATATTATGATTAATATCAGTTACATTAAGTTTTATTTGGTTTTGTTGAATTGAATCTTGTAAATACAATGATCTTGATTTACACGCGATACATTGGATAGTCTTGCCATGACATTCAACATTAGTTGAATTACACTTTGGACAAAGACAAAGCTGCTCTATTAATCCAATTGAAGTTATGGTACCGGATATTGATGAATCTTGTACGATGTTAAGATAATCACAAGAGACAACATCAGCAATTTAGAGGTGTAAGCCGTGCGGCTGAGCCGCCGCCGCCGCCGATTAACGGGAAAAATTTTAAGCCGCCGCCGCCGTGACAGTCGAAATTTTAAAAATTTATAAGCCGCCGCCGCTAAGACACTTTAGTTCCAGCCGCCGCGCCGCCGAGGGCATTCAGAATTTTCAACTTTTTGAGCCGCCGCCGCCGCCGACACCGTTCATAAACATCGACAACTTTTTAATCATTTTTTCCTTAATTTTGTATGGGTTAAAAGTTTCAAGTAATCATTTCACTTGTTAATGTCTATAACATTATATATAAGTAAAGACCAGTATTATAAGTTTCGATTAATAAAAACAAAATCAAGCAACAGACTTGTGTGTGCTACGTCGTTCTACTTATTAACAAACTCGGTGACGGTTTTTCATCTACTATTTATCCTGGTGGTTATATTTATTTTTCATTTATTTGTATTCTCAGTGGTTGTATTATTTTTTCACTTATTAATAATCCTAGTGATTCCGTTTTATTCAGTAGCAATTCAAGTTATATTTCCTACTCAAAGTTTGATGGTTTTACTATGTATTGATGATTTTGGTAATTTTTATTTATCATTATTTTTGGTGTTGCTTTTTCAATTTTCAGAAATTTGTAGGTGCTGTTTATTGATAAATAAATAATTCTGTTTGTTTTGTTCATTTTTAGGTTCATCTTGCGGTTGAAATGACAAATATATATTGTGTAAACAAAAACTTTTTTATCGAGATGAACCTACCTAATCTACCAAAACCATCGTTCGTCTGGAATCATTTCGGTTATTTGTACAAAAAAACCTAATTAGTTAGCCGATAATTAACATGTTTATTGCAAAATTTGGTTTCACAAATTGAAAAACGATCAAGCTGATATTACTTTTTTCAATTAAAAATCTTATTGGTATTTATAGCAATATAAGTGGTACAGAAAATGTGAAAAATCATTTAACGGTCTACGAAAACGTTTTTGGACAAAGTATTTGTTCATTTTTTTCTCTTATAAAAGTATTCTAGTCGAGTGAAAAAAGAGTGATTAGGACCAGAATGATGTGGCCTTTCCAGATATAGGCTCATAAATTCTGTACCTATTGTTGCTCTAGAATAAGTAAGGAGATCTCTGAAAGGTCTAAAAACACAGTTTGGACACATCAATTATTCAAAAGTTTCTCGACAATATTTTGTTCATATTTTATTGGCTTAAGTGTTCTAGGTGAATGAAAAAATTTAGATTAGGACTAGAATTCCGTGCTCTATCCGAATATAGTCTGAGGGATTGTGTATCTGTTCTTGTCATAGAGTAGTGAGGAGGTCTTTGAATGTTCTGAAAAAGTTATGTCAGTGGCAAATAAAAAAGCTTTTGTGACCTTCGTATGTTTCTTTAGAAAAGCGCTAAAAATGGTTCAACTAGGGTGTGGGTGTGGGTGTGGGTGTAGATGATATAAACTCTCACCCACACCCACACCCACACCCTCGAAGGTTGAATGCAACTTCGAACAACTTGGATCAAATCTCGTTCCCATACCATTAATGGAACAAACATTTCGTATTAATATTGCTGATATTCTACCAAAAGATAAGAAACCAAAACCAAATCAGAAGACAATTTTATCGATTAAGCGACGTGCATTACCACTTGTGCCTGCATATTCTATAACAACACATAAAAGTCAAGGTCAAACTTTGAATAATGTTGTAATTGATTTAAAACTACCAAATAGAACTGATGATATTGCCGCAATTTATGTACCATTATCACGTGTGAAACGTTTGACTGATTTAGTTATTTTAAGACATTTCGATTACAAAACTTTATTAATGAAACCAAGCAAATCTCAACTCATTGAAATAGAAAGACTAGATAAACTATATATAGAAACATAACTGCGTTTTGCTCAATGGTTCTAGCCTTCTTTTTTTTTTCTTTTACAGAATTTGCATGTAATTGCTAGTACTTATAATATTACAGCTTTTAATAAAAAACATGTTCTATCCCAAACAATTTTACAAACAAGATCGAGTATTGTTTTTTCGAATGCTACAAGTTAAGCAAAGACATTTGAATTGCTTATTCGTATAAAGTTGCTAGGGCAATTCTTCCAACATTGGCACATGCAAAAAAATACTTCTGTCTTCCACAGTCGAGGGTTAAGTGAGTCGAACCGACGAACGTTACTTGTGTCATAGCCATATTGACGATATCATTCTATTTCTTTCATTGACATGTAGTGACAATTATACAAGGGGGAAATAACTGACTTTTATGACTTAAAGTCATTTAGATCAT